CCCGCCCCGCCCCCCGGGCGCCCGGAAGCCACTTGGTGGCACCGGGAGGTCGCTGGCGAGTTTGGCAGTGAGACACGGAGCCCGGGTGCCAGGGAAGCAGTGAGGGGTGAACGCGGGCCCTGCTACGAGGCCCCCCTGTGAGTGCCCAGGTGGTGGCAGCGCAGGGAGGGTGACACCGTGCGTCACCCCCTGCTTCAACTGCCACCACCAGCTACTTGGCCGCGGGGCCAACATAGCTGCGAAGTCAGGGCTCGGCTAAGAATAACCCGGCTTGCCCCAAGCAAGTCCTTGGCACCACAGGAAACGTGCTCCGTGGGCAGGCCGGCATCTTGGACCGGATCTTCTGCGTCCCCCCAGCAGGACCCCTGGTTGCGCAGGAGAGCAGCCCTGGCGGGGACGGCCCCGCCGAGACCACAGGCTCTTTCCACGAGCGGTTTCGAGCCCGTTCCTCCGGCGGGCATTGGCCGCTCGCACTGCTTGGAGGCAGCCCGTCTTCTTCCTGCCATCGTCACCCCAGCAGCGACCTCCCAACAAAGGGAGACGCAGGTTGCTGCACCCAGTAGCCACCCGTCTGCCTGCCGAGTCACTGGGGCAGAACTGGTGGCTGGTCCCGGCGACTGGGTAAGGAAGGAGGCCGGCGACCACCCCAGGGACCAAAGGAGCCGGGAGCTGCTGCTGCTCCCTTGGGCAAGCAGCGGCCAGGGAGGGCTGAGGACCACGGGGGCCGTCGGGGACGAGCGGGGCTGCAGACCCGTCCGGCAGCATTATAAGCACCCGCACGGCTCTCCCTCGCCTCCGGCTCTGACCGGCACCGCAGCATTGCGCTCGTGCCATGGCCCTGCACCGGGTCCCCTGCAGCCCTGGGGCGAAGGGAGGTGACCCAGGCTGCTCCTCCCTGAGCACCGGCAGCCCCATGGTGGGTGCGGAGCTGCCGGGGGGTCACCCTGACTCATCCATCCCAAGCTCCCGGCCCCGGGAGGCTCCCCGTGATTCACGCACCGACAAGCGCCTGGCGCTGGGCTCGGCAGGGGAGTCTCTCTTAGCACGAGGCCGCGTGAACCCTGCCCAATTTGCTCTTCAATCCCGTGTTCTGTTTGCTGGGGAAACGTGATCTGGGTACCGAAAGCCGAGGCTGAAGCCAGAAAGCGCTCCCTTGCGCAAGCAGGGTGGAGAGGAGCAGACGCAGGCATGTGCAAACACACCTGCTGCTCCCGGGAGCTCCCGGCTCTGCAGCATTTCCAGAGCTGCCTGCGTGTTTGAGCGGTTTCTCTCTCTAGCCTGCCCCGCGGTGAGGTTGGTACTGGGCAAGCAGAGAGGTAACAGCAGGAGGAGGCAGCAAGCATAGGGCCAGCACCGGGGAAAACTCCTCCCACTTGCAGTAGCCCTGAAAAAAATCTTTTTTTCTTTATTTCACTGGTGCCAGAAAGCAGAATTTGCCCCTCGCTTCGGTGGCACAGGGCACTAGCCCTGCATGGACTCCTGGCTGGCAGCTACCCCGACCCGAGGCTGCATCTCGAAGCCGCTGAAGTGGCAGAAGGCACCGGGGATGCGGTTGTGCCAAGGGAGCTGCGAGCGGAGCGAAGGGAAGCGGAGCTCTGGAGACCTGCAGCTGGAGGGGACACGGGGCTGGAGAGGGGTCTTACAAAGTCTACAGCACCCAAGGACAACGGGAGCAGAGCAATCCCCCTTCCTCGGGGGACGCTGCTTGGATGCTGGGCAGGAAGGAGCTCCTTCCTGGAGAGCGCCCTGCCACCGCCTGGTGGCACCAGCACCCGCTGCGCCACACGCGGCCCTGCCAGCGGCCGAAACCCTCCTGCTCCCAGCGCGGCGCTGGAGGCAAACACGGAATAGCTGGATGTAAAGCGCTAAGGAACAGCCCCCAAGCTGCCAGGCTGCTGCTGTACTTAAAAGATGGAGGAAACAAGCTGTGTTTTAGGAGCCGGCCTCGCCGCAAGCAGTGCGGGGTGATGGGAGCAGTGACAGGAACAGCAGGAGCAGAGGTTGTGACGGCCCCGGGGTAGCACCAGGCCCTGGCTCCTCTCACGGGGCGTCGCAGCAGCAACCCCCAACCTCCAGGGAGCAGCTGAGAGGGGTCAGAGCAAGCGCTGGGCAGGGGGCCCTGCCCCAAGGGCTGCGCTGGGCCGAGACGGGCAACCATGGTGAGGTGATGGGGCAACCGTGGCTTTGCCTTGTGAGCCACTGCCCAGCCCCAGCAGAGCCCCGAGGGAAGCGGATGGAAACAGGGTCAGCCTCCGACGCGGGAGCCCAGGGACAGGGGCTGCTCCCAAAGAAGAAGCTCCTGTTCCTCGAGCAGAGCTGAGCTTTCCCTCCTTTCTCCTGGCTGGCCGGAGTGTCCCCAGCTCCGCCGAGCAGGCTGCTCCCCCCAAGAGGGACACAGGAGGGGAGACACCCTAAGCCATCAGGTGGGTTGAGGGCAAAGCAGAGACTCTCCATGACAATGCAGTGTTTATTACGACCAAGCAGAGATATAAGGAACAGCTATAGGGCAGGAGGGAGGAGGCTTCACCATAAGAACCAGCTCGGAGACCGAACTGCAACACGCTGCAGAACGGAGGCCTTCATTTTCCTTTCGAGTGGGAGCAAGACCTTCCCTTCTCCCCTCCTGTGTCCCCAGGTACCACCAGGGTGAGGGTCCTGCCTTCATAAGGGGGATCTGTCACCTCGCAGCAACGCTCCTAGCCCGTCCTGGCTGTGGCCAGGAGCCCTACCTGGGTACACGAGCCCACGTTCTACAAAAGTAGCCTTCCCTCCAAAAAAAGAGACTGTACAGAGCTCCCGCGTTAGTGTTATTGCTCAGCGTGACAGGCGCTCACACGCAGGAGCTTAAGGCAACAGGAATAAGTGCACTGGATGGGCCTCCAAAGCAGGGGGCCCGGGGGACGTGCACGGCCCGGCGGCCCCACGCGGCTCACTGTCCCAGGCAGTCCTCGGTGACGCCCTGCGCGGCCAGCTCTGCCAGCACATTGTCCAGGTAGTTGGGGTCGGGGTAGCCGTGGCCACTCAGGTTCGTGTCCATCTCTGTCTTGTGGTGGATCTCGTTCCACACTACTGTGTTGCTCTCACCTGTGGTGCTGGAGGTGCCCACTGTGAAAATCAGGCGTCTCCTCCAGGCCACCTTGAGGAGCTCCAGGACCTAGAGATGAAGGAAGGAAAATCAAAGCTGGTCTCCAGCAGCGAGATTTGACTCATGGGCAGATGAGCAGTCCCTTCTTGTCATGCTGTCGGAAGAAACAGCTCCCTGGCCCTTTTCAAGGGAAGCATCCAGGTGAGATATGGATGTGGTTGCTGCCAGAAGCTTAATAACTACACCCTTGCAGTTGCAGCAAGAAACTAAAGATATCAGCATTAGAAGGAACTCCTTCATCTCCTGTTTTTCTGTGTGGTGCCTCTGATGGGAAGAACAATTAATTTCCCCCACAAGCCAGTCTTGCAGGACTGGAAAAATACTGGCACAGGTTGAGACAAACACATTCACCCACAGGAAATGGTGATGGGAACAGGGAACAGACAGTTTTTTTTTTTTTTCCCTCAAGTTCAGTGGTTCTAAGAGAAACTCCTGTAACAGCACAGCTCAAAACAAGCCAGGAGTGTTTGCTCAAACAAATGAGGCAAGCTTTTGTTTAGCAAAGGGATGAAGGAGAATTGTGAAGAAAAAGAACAAAACTTTCAGAGCCAGAAAGGTCATAAAGACACCTAAGTAACAACAACACGGACAACTGGCAAGAATAGCTCATTAGCATCATAGGAGCAACTCATAAAAACAGCCCTATTGTTCAAAGCCACCACTGTTGAGCCAAGAGGGCCACATGGAGCAGTCCTGTCCCTGGGGTTACAGGACTTACCTTCCTGCCTTTCTCGTTGTCTGGCAGGTAGCAATAGCGAGGAAAGCCTCTTGCTGTGTAAGGCATCCCAGGGTTGGGGTGCTCAGGGCCCTGCAATAGATAAAGGACAGAGTGTGTATGGACACTTCCACCTTTTCGGGGGTTGCACAATCCTTCAGGAATAAGGGTTAGAATTAGCAGCAGGATTTAGGAGAGGACCATCTCAGGCCAGCTCTTCCATCCAGAAGGAGCACTGTATTGCTGATTATGAGTAGGAGGTATTGGACTGGTTCCTATGGGACACACTAAGATCACAGGTCCTTCATGCTGCAATAAACTGAGCTCTTTAGAGACTTTTCTACATGGTCTAAGGCCATCAGACCTTCAGGTCACTGCACCCACCCACAGCCTAGATGTGGGTTGTAAAATAAGACGCCAGAACCTCTCCCATCCTGTGAGCACTGGTGGGGTCTTCTCCCTGGTTCTCACAGGCAATTTTTACTGTAGGTGAAAGGCTGGTGAGAAGCAGCGGCCAAGTTCCCGGTACTGCTCCGGAGGGTCACACAGCTTCCCCCTGCCTGACAGCAGCCGCTCCTGCAGGCAGCCCTTGTGCTCACCTGAATGCCTCTGCTGATGTGATACACAATCTGGATTGTCCCGCAGTCCTTGTGGCCAGGAAGGGACTGGGGAAAAGTGGAAACCTCCATCTTCCCTTTGGGCTGAGTACCGGTTTTCTCTCCATAGATGGTTTTACAAGAGGGGCACTGCAAACTCCCATCCTGTGCGGAGAGAGAAGCAGGCGTCAGCCCTCAGGAGTCGCCTGGCCCCGAGGCCACGGGGACGGGCTGGCCCGTACCTTGTTTCCGTTGGAGTACATGGCCAGCACGCAGAGCATGTGGAAGCAGTGCTGGCAGTTCGTCAGGCGACCGACCATCTCCGGCTTGATGGCGCTGCACTCGCACGCGTCACCGTAACCTGACGGGGAGGCCAGCTTCTCCATGCAGATCATACAGTCCTAGAGGCCAAGACAGCAGGGATAAAATCACCACACGCCGAGGGCACCAAGATGATCATACTGACTCACCAGGACAGCAATCAGGGAGACATTTTAGGAGGATTTGCCTTCAACATTAATCCTCCCCTCTGAGGTTTAAGAGCAGAGAGAGGTTTCCTCACCTGGCTGGTACCACCCCACTCCACTGCCTCCTGGGCAGCACAGGACAAGAGCAGCCAGTTAGAAGGAACAAGCAGGGAGCTGAGCATGTTTATGTCCTGCTCCTCTACAAAGCAGCTACTCCAGCTTTGAGCTAGTCACCTTCTTAAGCAGCTCAATCAGCTGGATTCAGCTCGCTCCAGTTGCAAGGAAGGTGATGGTTCAAGTGAGATTTACCCAGGCCGATATCATACTCACTTGAAAGATCCACTGAGCCTAGAACCAGGTCAGCCTCTGCTTCGTTAGTGCACGCTCCCACTCTTGCACTCCTAAAGTGAGGGCCTTGGGTACCCATCCATGGGCACCCATGTGGGCATCTCTCCAAATCTGGAGAGCACAGCGTGCACATCAGAGCATCTGGATGAGGCCCCATCCTCAGTTACCACGTGTGGGTTTCAGTCAACAGTGAGGTCTTTCCACCTAGCATCAAGGAGGCCATTACAAGCAGCGGGATCTACTACACAGGATGGCCATGGAAGGACAGTCTTCAGGGACCAACTTGGTTTTCACAGCACACCCATAAACAGCTCTGGCCAAGCCAGACTTGCTTTATTACAGCCTTGCTCTGTTCCTCCTGCCCCTCTTCCCTCGGGTGACGCTAAAGAGAAGCGGAGAAGAGCAAGTAACTGGCCAGGATGCCGAGGAGAAAGGTCAGGTTTAGAGGGAGAGAAAAGGTCTCTGCTGAAGCAGCTGCTCCAGCGGCTCCATACAAGCCTTGCAAACACTTTGCTGCCAGTGATGACGAGCACTAACACTGCGAGGGACATGGGCCAGAGCGCGCAGCAGCCCGAGCTCTCTGGGGAGAGAACCCACAGACCAGAAACCAGCTGTGATCAAACTGAACCCAAGGACGTTACAATCTTAGTGGGAAAGAGATGATTACAACTTCTGTGCTGTTGAAGGGAAGAAGGCATTCCCGCACTGCACGGGACATGGGACCCTTGTACACCGGGGCAAACCCTGCTGTTGGCATCTGACAAACAGAAACCCAGCAATACACTAAGCTTCAGGCTTTGCTTTTAGTACTGTAGAATTAGTCTTGCATCTTTACCAAGAACCAGCAGCTTTCCTTGGGAGCTTTTCACATACTCAAACTCAGCAAGATGCAGCACAAGGAACAGAAAACAACCCAGCTTTGTAACAGTGTCCTGTCTGCAGAACAGCTAACACAACCTCACGTTCCATAAATTTAATCCTCCCACCCAAGCACAGACCCCAGTGCAGCCCACCAGGCCTGATGTCCCACGCCAGAACTGCCCTGCTCCAAGGCAGGTGCCTGCTGAGATGGACACAAGATGGAGTTTCTGCAGGCAACAGCGGATCTCCCTGATGCCCTGTCCCCTCTAGAGCAATGAGCCAGCATAAGAACCAAGCAGCAAACACACAATAACCTAAGCCTGCTCCTGGTGAGGACGTCAGATGTAGCCTCGACTCCCAGCAACTTCTACTGCAAGCAGAGCTGCTCAGCAAGACGTGGCCTGCAGGGACCCACGGCTGGTCCTGCACCCTACAGACAGTCACCAAGCACCCCGACCCCCCTGAGGGCACCCAGCCCTGCGTGAGACAAGACGAGCTCCTTACCCGTCGCCAGGCCCATCACAGAGGCTGCCAGGCTCCTCCACCAGCCTACAAGAGGGAACATTTGCACAAGCAGCATTAAGACTCCACTTGGCAGGAGGCAAAGGAGAAACCTGCCACTTGGCTAGGGGGATTCCTTGCTTGCTCTTCCTGCTCTGCCCCAAACCTACTTCTGGGAGAGAGGAAGGACAAAAGCCGTGTCGTGACAGACAGTTCAGCTAAGGTGCAGCTCTTCCTTGTCCGATCTCTTCTATCCCAGCTGCTGGAGCTGCCCTGGGAGCAAGGGAAGTGCTACCAAAGGCTGGACAGCTCAGGAGCATCAATGCCCAACACGCCAGGGCCTCAGGAGGACATGCCCATAAAGAGCTTTCCTCTGGAAGACATTTCTAAGCACTGTAGGACATGAACTAACTGTGCTTTGATAAAGAAAGGTGTTTCTAGCAGCTGTGATCCCAGGCAGGAGAGGACCTGGGCTCCTCATGCAGCATCACTACATGAAGGGTTGGGTATTGGGCCTGGGGCACTTGCACCCCACACGTCTTCAGCTCTCCCAGTCCCCTTCGATGCTTTCGGGAAAGACGGAGGGTTCAGAAAAGTTCTCTCTGCAGCCGAGTAAGCCGGTCTGTGGGAAGAGGCAGCCACACCAGAGCCAGCACTACTTCCTCAAGCTCTTCATTACCCAAAAAAGCAGTTGCTCTCATCAGGAGGAAAGGGTAGGTGCCATTTTTTGGCTAGTGCTTTTCACAGTAGAGGCAAACGTGGTGAAGCAGAAGGGGAGAACAGTTCACACGTCATGGGTGACACTGTCATTAAAAAGGCAAGATGTGGTTGGCCCAAGTCCTCTCCTCAGCGCAGGAGGAGCCAGGCTGGACATTTCAGGCATAGCTGGCCTCTGAGGATCACCCCCTGGCCCTCCACACACCCTTAGCCTGGAAGGAGTCAACAGGACAAAGTAAGCATTAATAATAATCCAAACACAGGAACCTAGAAGCAGGTGTTTTCCACCTCACGGCCTGCCAAAATCCCTTGGGAATGCACTTGAGCTGCCGCAAGAAGGGTGGGGAAATGAGCCAAGGTGCTGGGAAAAGCCCGGCCTTCCAGCTTTCAGGCTGAGTTCAGCAGAGCAAGGAGCTGCCTCAAGCCCTAATAATCACCATCCTCACATGGAAAACCTCTTCCTTGACTTGTCTTTTCCACAGGAGAGAAAGGGATCCAGGAATCTCCCCGTTGGGACCTTGCTCACAGGCAACGTAGGAAGAAGGGGCAGCCAGGAATGAGTCCTCCTGCTCCCAAGTGTTTTTTTTTCCAGGTGCCTCTCTCTGAAATGATCTTCCTTTTCACCTCTTCTGGCTACTGGCTGGAGAAGGCAATGCCAGAAAGACGCACGGGATCAAGGGGCTGAAGATGAGGAAAGCCAGCAGACAGTGCACACAGACACCAGCCCACTACTCGGCTGAACAGTCCAAACCACCTCTTCCCACCTGCATAACAAATTTGAGTGGCCTTAAAGAAATCCACCTTGATCAGGCAGTGCAGGACTTTCCTTCCTTGCAGCCTCTGCTGTGCAGAACTCCTGCTGTTGTCTTTCCTCCCTCTACAGCACCCAGAGAAACAGAGAGATGCCTTGCCCAAGAACTGGCCGTGCTCCTTCAACTGAGACCAAAAAGAGGCAGCAAAAATCCCAGGGCAGAGCTGGGTAAGAGGGAGGACGACATTTTTGCAGAGTTTGCGGGAATACAGCAGGGATTCTGTGGAAAGCTAATGGTTTGATACCATCTCACCACCCAGGATTAGCAACCAGATGGGCAGAAGAAGAGGAGGCAACCCCCAGTCTGCCCCAGGACACCCTCTGGAGATCAGAAATGCCCTGCTCCTATCAGTTGGTTGTGATAATGCCCTGATGCATCCAGTTCCACCAAGGCTGTTGGAGCCCAGATACTTTAAAAAAACCTGCCCCCAGCTGCAAGTGCTTGAATGTCCAGCCCCAACAAAGACTTTGGACACTTGGGCCTTGGTTTCAGGCTGAGCCCACACAGCACCCAGCAGAACACGACCCACACACAGTGCACAATTCCCTTCCTTCCTGGGCCATTTGCTCTATAAAAGTATTTGCTTCCAGATTTGCTTTGTTTTATCAATCCCTTTGGACCATCAAAGTCTGGTCAGTCCCTATAGCTCTCAGGATTCCACACTGGAATGAAAATGCAATAGCAGAACCAGCCAATGTTGTTCACCACCAGCTAGCCTAATGCTGTGCTATTGATTGAGCTGGGATGTGAAGGAATGTTTACCATTCTTTCATTTACAAAGAGAGGGATAACGATTTTTCTTAATGCTTCCCCTTCCTCCTTGCAGATAATAAACTGTTTGCTGAAGCAAGGGCTTTCCACGGGTAACATTTAACAGATGTGTTTTGAATCCTTGCTCAGCAACCAACTGCTTGCAGGAGCAACATACCTCCTTCTGCATCCCAAAGTGATCCATATGGTTAACAGCAGAGTTCTCTTTGGATACCCTGCATAGGCCAGACACAGGTTGCTTCCAGTTGCCATGGACAGTCATCTAACTCCCATCAGCTCTCCCTCACTTCCCTGGACTTGGCAGGGCTGGGTCTACAGGTCTCAACTCCCAAGAGGGCTGCACAAAATCCAGGAGGGGAGGGAAGGCTTAGCAATAGAAACACATTTCTTCATAATTAGCAGTTGTCAGGACAGCCAAGGGACCAGGCTGCTCTGCTTGTGACGCAGGGCTTCCCCATCCCTACAGCCCGTCTCCTTTATGGAGATGGTCCCACACTGGACAGCGAGCTTCCCTGTTCTCCAACGGACTCCGCATTCCCGTCCTTCCTGCATGGCCAGCACACAACCAAAGCAGCACTGGAGCGGATGCACAGGGAACAATCCAGGAGAATCCGCTGGGATTGCTCCCCCTGCCCGTGAGAGCCGGCGGCGGCCGGCAGGAAAAGGCCACGCGCACGGGTTTCCTCCGCACGCGCCCGGCCTCCCCGGAGAGCAGAAACCTCCGCGCCGGCGCACGGCGATGCCAGCGGATAACGAGGGACGCCGGTCCCAAAGGACGCGTCCTCCCTTTGCTCCTCCCGAAGGCCCTGGGAAAGCCGGGAAGCTCCATTGCTGCAGCCTTGCAGGAAAGCCGAAAACCTTTCGCCTTCCAGCAACCCGCGGCAGCCCGCGCTGCCCGCAGGGGCTGGCGCAGCGCGGAGCCGTGAGCAGCGGCACCGCGCGGCTCATCCCGACCCGCCGCGGCGCCCCCGGAACGGAGCCCTGCAGCCGCCGCGGGATCATCCCACAAGGCAGCGCCAGGAACGGGCCCTGCGTGACGCGCGGGTTGGTTTGATGCGATGCAGCTAGTTGCAGAAGCGGCTGCAGCTCCTGCAGCTCTCCCGCTGCCGCCGCGCAGCGGGGCCGGCCTGCACGCGCGGGCCCATCCTTAGGTTATTGCGTTTACTCGAAACGCACGGTGCTGAAGGACTTGCCCTCGGGGATGGACACTGCAGAGAGGGGAAGGCAGCACAAAAATAGAGGATGAAACAGGCCCCTCTCTGCCGCTTACAGCTACAGGCTCTGCAAAGGGAAAAACAGCCTGAGCGGAGGCCAGGCGCACTGTTCTCGCTGCAGAACAGCATCTCTAAGGCAGGAAGGGTTGTGCAAGCAGGGCTTGTTTCCAGGAGCTCCTGAGCACCCTCTTCACCTAGGGAGTGGGACGCCCAGCACTCATCAGGGCTGCCGGTCCCGCTATCCAAAATACCT